ATTTTATTTAGAGACAGGATCTTGCTAAGTTGCTGAGGCTGGCTTTGAACTTGTGATCCTCCTGCCTCAGCCTCCTGAACCACTGGGATTATAGGTGTGCACCACCGTGCCCGGCAGGAGCCAGGTCTCATGAAGTTGTTTGGATTACTCTTCGCATGAGGGCATGTCTGTGTAGCTGAGACCTGAACACCAGACACTGCGGACTCCAGTCAGTAGCCTGTGTGCAGACTCGTCCAGCCACTTCCCAGCAAGCTGCGCGACCTGGTACAGGCTGACACTTGCCTTGGGAAAATGTCGGTGGTCTCTACAGCACCTGGCTCCACACTCTGAGTAGTTGCCTGCTGTCATTGTTTTAATGGGTAACCTCTTTATTTAGTCAGTACCTTTGTGCCATTTCTTCCTTTCTGCCCCCTGGCCACTTCTCAAGGACAGCCAGAGCCATGCCCAGTGCCTGCTCCTGAGTGTTCAGATGCCTCCTGCAGTTGGGCCTCTGTTTTTGGTACTGGGTATTGAGCCCAGGGGTACTTGACCACTGAGCCACATCCCCAGCCCTATTCTGTATTTTATTTAGAGACAAGGTCTCACTGAGTTGCTCTTGCTGAGGCTGGCTTTGAACTCGAGGTCCTCCTGCCTCAGCCTCCCAAGCTGCTGGGATTACAGGCATACAGTACTGCCCTGCATGTTGGGCCTCGTTTTTCTTTGCCTGCAGTGTGGAATCTCCTTTGCGCCTGCCTTGCCTGCCTACCAAGCCAGCTGTCCCACCGTCTAGGGAAGCCCTGCTCTCCCCCAGGTGCTCAGCAGGGCCTGAGCAGTCAGCCCAGATCCAGGGGGACTATGGAGTGTGGCAAGCCAGTGTCTCTTGATCCAGGCAGAGTTCTTTCTGTTCACACGCAAATAAAGTAGTCCCCCCTGATCTGTGTGGTATATTTTTGGACCCCACACCCGCCCCATGGATGCCTGAAACAGCAGTGGTACTGAGTCCTATATCCACTATGTCCCACCATTTAAGGGGGACACAGGGTTTACACCAGGATAATAGTGTCAGCTGTGGACCTTTAAGCACAGCTTTGTACAGAGCCCTGTGTCTTAGCTCCAGGTTCCTAACAATTGCCCCTTCACCAGCACGCTAGTCGCTAGTCACTAGTCTCTGGGGTGGGTTAGTGCAGTGCTGGTAACCAGAGAACACTGGCATGAGGTAGAGATGAAGGAACCAAAGTACAAACTCCAGTACTGGACTCTCAGGGAAAACCTCAGCCTCACCAAGAATGTTTTCTGGGTTCCTTCATGCCATGCTTTGTATCTTTTTTTTTTTTTTTAATTGGGTACTGGGGATTGAACTCAGGGGTACTCAACCACTGACCCACGTCCCCAGCCCTATTTTGTATCTTATTTAGAGACAGGTTCTCTCTGAGTTGCTTAGGACTTCCCTTAAGTGGCTGAGGCTGGCTTTGAATTTGCCATCCTCCTGCCTCAGCCTCCAGAGTTGCTGAATTACAGGCTGTGCCACCACACCCCGCCAATGTTTTTATCCTGATGAAGAGTCAGCTTCGGAAAAACGTTGGCTTGCATGTTTAACTTTTCAGAATGTGGTCATTTTCATTAGGTAATAACATATGTCACAAAATTCAGAAGCTGTAAAAAGGATGCTATTTCAGACACCAGCTTCCTGTCAACAAGGCATCCTTGAGTACCAGTTTCTTGTGTCTCCTGGAAAGGTTTCACATACAGTTCTCTACATGCTGAAACGTGTGTAAATGGTAATTAACAGTCTATTTTGGCAATCTTTCCAGTTTTCATAATCATTTCTGCTAAACTGCCCTTTTGTGGTCCTTCACAGAGGCTGGTCAGATTTCTGTTCCTGCCCACAGGCAGTGTGTGTGGATGCCTGTTTACCCACAACCTTCCTAGCACAGAACACTGTCCAAGTGCCTTTGATTTTTTGAGGGAAAATACAGTACTTCATAGTTTAAATGTGCACTTCTGTCATATTTGCAATCACATAAAATTGGGCATCTTTGAGGTGAATTTAAAAATTCTTTCCATTCTTCTCTTAAGGTTTATGTATTGAATGCCGTGAATACCATTTAAGATTGTGTGTCAAAGTGTGCATTAATTTAGCAGTTGATCTCCTGTGGCTTGTAGGTATTCTATTACTTAGAAAAGTCTTAGAACAGCCAGGATCACACGCATACTGTGTGGTTTTTTTTCCTCCACTTAAGATTAAAATGTGGACATAGGTTTAGAGAGTATCTTGAATGGCTGCTGGGAAGGATATCAGAGGTTTTGTTTTTAAATCTTGGTAACAGGTAATTCCTAAGGTCAGGCTTATCTTTAGATCTTGCACAATTTTGAGGCAGTGCCTCCGTCCTGCTGGACCCCTGGGGCCGGGCTGTGGTGGCTGCGCAGTGGGGCCTTGGCCTGAGCAGGGGGCGTTTCTCAGGGGCCCGGGGCGTTGTGGCTGCGTAGTGGGGCCTTGGCCTGAGCAGGAGGCATCGTGCCTGCGCAGTGGGGCCTTGGCTGCTGCAGGGGCATCTTCATGGCTGCGCAGCGGGTCGTTGGCCACCCAGTGGGGGCTTGGCCGCACAGGGGGCATCGTCATAGCCGTGCAGTGGGGACTTGGCCAGCGAAGGGGGAATCGTGGTGGCCGCACTGGGGGCGTCGTGGTCTTTCAGTGGGGCCTTGGCCGTCGCAGGGGGCGTGCTGGCGGCTCAGAGAGGGTCATCCTGGCTGCGCAGCGGGCGTTGTCCAGGGTGCGCAGTGGAGCCTTGGGTGCACCACTTGGTCGCAGAGGGGGCGCAGTCGCGACCGCGCAGTGTGGACTTGGTGGCGCAGGGAGCGCAATCCTGGCCGTGCAGGGGGACCTTGGTCGCACAGGGGGCGCAATCCTGGCCGTGCAGGGGGACCTTGGTCGCACAGGGGGCGCAGTCGTGGCCGCGCAGGGGGACCTTGGCCCGCGCAGGGGGAGGCGTCGTGGCCACGCAAGGGGACCTGGGGCGCGCAGGAGGCATCGTGGCCGTGCAGGAGGGCCTTGGCCACTCAGGCGGCGTCGTGGCCCTGCAGGGGGACCTTGGCCCTGTCAGGGGGCATCGTGGCCACGCAGGGGTTCCTTGTGGCTGCGCCATGGGGCTTTGCGGCTGCGCTTGGGGTCATAGGTGCGCAGGAGTGTGTAGCTGCGACCCTGGTGCACGCCCGGGGCCCTCCCTGCCCGAGCGCCTGCGGCTGCAGCGCCCCCTGGCTGTGGGGCGGGCGGCCGAGGGTGGCGGCCGTCCCCGCGCCGCGCCCTGGTGCCCTGGGAGTCCTCCTGGGCCTGCCCGGTGGCGCTCTGGCCCGCGGCCTCTGACTCCGCTGCGCACAGCAGGCACCCGCACCTCGTCGCTGCCCTGTCTGTCCCGCGCCTCGCCGCCCGCCCTCCGGGACCTCGGGGACCCAGTTCTGCACTTCCGGGTTGGCCCGCGCCTGTCTGTCATCCTGGGGCGGCGCAGTGCTGTGCTGGGCGCGGCCCTTTAAACTTTCTGTTTTTAAACTTGGGGGTGTGGTCGCGGCTCCACCTCTCCTCTCTGCTGGCTGTCCCGACCCTCGGGTCCCTCTGTCCCCGCCCTCCAGATGCCCCAGCGTTATGAGCCGCCCGGGCGCAGGGTCCGCTCTGGTGGCCGAGGTGATCCAAGGTGAGGCGGGGGGGTGGGGGGGGGTGGGGGGGGTGCGCTCTGGGACTGAAGTGACACTAGGGTAGGCATCTGGGCGCAGGGCTCGCTGGTGGCCGAGGTGACAGAGGGCCGGCAGGAGGGCGCCCCTACATGGGAGGCACGGGCGGTGCCCACGAGCCCTGCACTTGCGGGCACCCTTAGGCTCCGAGAGGTGGGCGTCCAGGGCAGACCCCAGGGTCCGGCTTGGCAAAGGCGCCCGGGTGGACAGGCCCGTGTCCTCCCTGCCCCGCAGCCACCCCCACGTCCTGAGCGCAGTCTTGGGTGCTGTGCGGGATCAGAGGTCGCTGGTGGTTGGAAAGGAGTGAGCCTGTCACCCGCTGCAGTGTCCGCGGCTGCCAGGAAAGTGGAGTTGAGTTTATGAGGAAATAAATGTAGCAGTTGGCGTGAGTTGAATCGCAGACCAGAAAAAAAAAAAGTTTACCACTGGGGGAAAGGATGCCAGCTGGCGCCCTGTTTCTTGTCTGAAAGTAACACACGCTTTGAAGGCTGCCTTCATTTTTGCCACGTTTTGAGTGTAAGTATCCCCTAGCACGACTGGAGTTACTACCGTGTGCAGAGGACTTTGAGGACTTAGGCCACCTTTTTTTGGGTGGGGGGAGAAGGGTGAAGCTTCTGAACATGAACATTCGTGCCCCATACCAGCTTGTCTGCAGTTAAGAAGCACAAGTTCATCTGTCTCATTATGCAGAAACCTCTCATTTCTTGTGTTTTAATTAATATTAATTTGTCTTATTATTTAAAAATCACAAAGTAGTGATTCCAAATTAAAAAAAAAAACAAAAACAAAAAACAGCAATCCCTGCCAACAGTTGGGTAAACATATGGTTTGTTTGGTTGTTTTCTGCTAGCTGCGAACAGTAATTTTGAAAGCATTCTTACAAAATAGTTTCTTACCGAAATGACTTTCCAGATGGCTGGAAGCTTGAGCTGAAGCTAGTAGTAAGGCACCAAATGTATGCTGTGCGGTCTTTGTTGAAATGTCTTAGTCCAGGGGAACTAAAGTTTTAGTGTGAGAGGTTCCTTCAGAAGTCAGACCTTATCACTAGATGTGATGTCCCTACTGATGAAACTTAGGTTTAAAGGCAATTTTCCTTTAAAAATTTTGCTTATTCTTATCCATCCACAGTCAGAATATTTTGAAATTATCTTTTGCCACCACTACCATCTGAAACATGCATGGAAAAAAATAAGACTCTTGACTTCATCTGAGGAACAGTTGCACCATGCTATAGGAAACTTTTAAAATTTTATTTTAAATAACTTGAAGGAAGGAACATTGCAATTTTTCCATTTCAGATCGCCTTTGTTTTGCCATTCTCTACAGCAGACCAAAGAGTGCATCAAATGAACATTATTTCAGCATAGATAATGAACTTGAATATGAGAAGTAAGTATTGCTTTTAAAAAGATTGTAATTTTTTTTTTTTTTGAACAATCTAAAGGTATGTTTATTAAGAGCAGAGCCCTGGAAACTCACAAAACTGTTGGTTGCTCATTGCAAGATGCTTTTTAAAAAAACAAAAAACTAGTAGTAGACCTATAAGGAGGGAAATGAAAATGAAAGGCCTCTCCTATATTTAAATCTGTAGATTCAGTATTTAATAGTTTGCACTGCAATGAGACATAGTGTATACTAAGTTAAACACGGATTTCTCCAGTAGAAAATTCGAATAGAAGAACAACTTGCTTATTTTGGAAGGCATTTTCATGTTAATTGAGGTTTCATGGAGGCTGTGACACCTGTTGTGTGTGTGTGTGTGTGTTGTGTGTGTTACTTTGTTGGGGATGGAGCACCAGGGCCTCAAGTGTGCCAGGCAGGTGCTCCAGCACTGAGTTACCCCCCCAGCCCCCTGGTTGCTTATTTTCAGAAGGCATCGCTTACCGGAACTTTCCTACCACTAGTAGGGGTGCTTTGAATTGTGTGACCTGATCGGTTGGTTTGGTGGATGTGCTCTGGTCCTTAATTTGATACTATACACACACACACACACACACACACACAAAAAGACATTTGTATTCAGAGTATTTAGAATATACATACATGCTTTTATTTTTTATTTTTAAAGCTTCTACGCAGATTTCGGACCACTCAATCTGGCAATGGTTTACAGATATTGTTGCAAGATAAATAAGAAACTCAAGGTAAAGTCTTTTTTGTTTAAGATTTGACCTGAGTAATCATTGTTAATTTAGTCTTGGGAAGAAATTAAGGACAACTTTTTTTTTTTTAAGGTTTTAAAAAAATTCATAGAGGGTTTGAAAGCATTCTTTCCCTTTAAGAATACCATTTCTTACTGAAATGACTTTTTTTAGGATGTCACTGTAGTGGTGTTTAGGACAAACATTTGTTTGTCTTGTAAAGTCATAGTGCTTATATTTATTTTCTAGAGTTTTGTTGCAACAGTTAAAATTTGGGCCAGCTGATTCTGACTTGGGTTGCTGATGCTCAAATACTTGAAAAGTCAAAGTGGAGGTTGGTTAATTCAGTAAGACTCTACTGTCTGACTTAATGGCATGAGAAATTCTTTCCGAGCTTTGGTCATTGTTTTTTCTTTATTGTGATGAGGGATTGCTAGCAAACTAACAGGAAAAACGGGCTCTGCTATCTCTCCTGTCTTAGAATCCCCATTATATAGTACTAGTTGTGACTCTTTGACCTTGTATACTTCATGATTGAGGAGGGCAAAGACAAATGGCATATCACTGAAGATTAAGATTGGCTTAAACTTTGACCTCATTCTTTTAGAAACTTTGAATTATTGGTCAGGCACAATTGGAAAGGTCTGTGGTACCACTTGCAAGCAGTAACACATTAGTTTACTGTATATTGTCAAATAGAAAATTCTGCATTTGGGAAGCAGGTCCTTTTTAAAGGGTTGTACAGTGGATTGTCTACCAGGCAACTTTACAAATTTTTTCACTTTCAAATTTTAATTTGCCTTAATTAAAAATTTTTGAGTAAGGAACCCCCTCCCCCCAAGCATCACCTTGTATTCCTCCTGGGCTCCCTTAAATAGGAATGTGAACATGAATGGCTTTGTGTACACGTGTTCCCTCCCCTCTTTTCACTTGCCAGTGGCAGATATTTTGTTTCCCATAGGGCTGGGAAGCTAAAAATAATTCCTTTTATTTGCCCCTTCTTGTATTTCTTTGCTTTAATTTTGAAAGAGTTACTACTATGCTTAGCTGTCTCTGGACTCTTATCCTTTGGTTTGAGTCAACCAAAACCAATCTCAATTCTTTTTAAAAATAATTTACTAGAACAGCTTATAATGTGAAGATTGTCCTGTTTTGCTACTAGATGGCTGATGGTTGGTTGGGTTGGTTGGTTTGGCACTGGGGATTGAACCCTGGGCTGCTCTGCTACTGAGCTACCTCCCCAGCTCTTATTTTAAATTTTGAGACAGAGTCTTTCTATGTTGCTGAGGCTGGTCTTGAACTTTTGATCCTCTTGTCTTTGCCTCCCAAGTGGTTGGGATTGCAGGCATGTGCCACTGCCAGGGCTTTGTTTTTTTTAATTTTATATATATATATAATTTTTTTAAATCAACTTGTGTCTCTTACTCTATGTAAACCAGTAAAGGAAACTGTGTATGCATTCATCAAGAAAGCACAGAATATTGAAACACTGGAAAATGGACTTAGAGAAGCCAGGCCAGATACACTCAGCTGAATGTTTCCCTTTCCCTCCTTCCCCCAGTTTATTTTCCTCGCAGCAGTGAGGTGCAGCTAGGAAGTGCTCCTTTCACCTCTGACTTCTGTTTCTCTCTGTATTAGACTCTGTGTTAGAGTATGATGTGCATGTTGGGGTGCAGTGCATGCAGACTGTGGGTGTGCAGCTCTGCACATTTGCAGACTGAATTCTTTGGGCAAGTATCTTGAGCAGTAGATCCAGGAGAGCCCCAGAAGCCCCAGAAGAGCCCACCGGAGCCTCCTCCACGGCCCCTCCCAGGATTCCACTCTTCGGGTTCTAGGCGGCGTAGAGTATTTTTGCATTGTTCTGTAAACTCTTGTATTTTTTTGTGTGTGTGGTGCTGGGGATTGAACCCAGGGCCTTGTGCATGGGAGGCAAGCACTCTGCCAACTGAGCTACAGCCCCAGCCTCTACCCTTGTGTTTTAACATAGTGGTGCTTGGATTACTTGAAAAAGTGAACAGGAAAGAGAAGTTGTGTTGCAGAGGTGCCGTCTCCTTTGTTGTTGCTTTTTAGACTTTGAGAGGTTTGCTTACACACTCACACACATGACCAGTTGTAGACAATGTGGAGACCAGTGGCTGAACATTACAGCTTGGGAACGCCCAGCACTGTGAGTGGCTGTGGCATTCAGCATTGAGCACGGTCCTGAGGGTCCTTGGTTTTACGGCCCTGCAGGTCCTCTTGGAAATGAGCCAGCGGTGGTCTGTCAGCCTGGATCAGGACGCGTCTCTGCCCCTTTAGCCTCATGTTCATCCATGCTTCAGAACATGCCCTTTGTGGGAAGGTACCTGGTATCTTTGGGTACCAGTGTTGGTCTTTCCCACAGCCTTGCTAACGTGTGTGCTTCTCTGGTGAGATTGTGAATTTGTGTTATCACGAAGTGAAGTTTTAGAAAACTCAAAAAGGAAATGCTAACAACTATTTATTTTCACGCAGTCCATTACAATGATAAGGAAGAAAATTATTCATTTTACTGGCTCTGATCAGAGAAAACAAGCTAATGCTGCTTTCCTTGTTGGATGTTATATGGTAAGTACTTCACTAGTTTCCTGACCTATTTGTAGAAACGTATACTTCAGTGGTTCTTTAAATCTTGGGGGTGGAATTTCGAAGTCACTTTTTCTAAGGTTCTGTCTTGGTTTGTTTCTAAAGGGAACATATTTTGCTTTTTATAAACCAACCAGCTGGGCCAGGGTTGTGGCTCAGTGGTAGAGCGCTTGCCTGGCATGTGTGAGGCACTGTTCAATCACCAGCATCACATTAAAAACAAACAAAAAAACCCTAAATAAACAAAACAAAGGTTAAAAAAAAAAAAAAAAAAAAACCTGACCAGCTGAAGGAGACAGTGCTTAGGTGGGGGTGGGGAGCCTATGGAGAGTTTTCTTAAAAATAAAACAGAACACTGGATAAATGTTGGAAATGAGTAACTGCTTTTTGAATCTTACTGCTCTTCTCCCTGCCTCCGGGGTGCTAGGGACTGAGCCCAGGCCCCAGGCATCCCAAGCAGGCACCCACCAATCCATCCACCACTCAACTGCGCTTCCAGCCCTCTGCTGTTGCTTTTTTTAAACTACTAGTGGGGAAAAAAATAACCTCTTGGCATAGTTATGGACAATTTCTTGTCATGTTTGTTCCCAGCTTGGTGTGACTTTGTTCATGGTTGTGTCTTCGCACACAGAAGCTTTTTTTTTTTTAATGATTAATGTGTTCGTATTTAGAAGTCCTTCAGGATTCTGCACTTTTGGTTGGTTCTGGGGTGATTGGTTAGGACAGCGCCAGGGTAAGCTGATTAGGACATGCACTCTAGTTTGTTCGCCCCGGCTCTGCTCAGATCCCAGCCAGAGGATTACGGTTTGGCTGTGACAAGCCTCTGAAGCCCTCCCCGGCTGGAGAAAGAAAGGAGGAGGTTGGAGCAGCCATGATGATCTCCTAGGAGCAGGAGAGAAGCTCCCGAGAAAAGGAGATTTATTGTAGTGGAGGAGGAGTGTCAGGTATGAGGTGGCTGGCCCAGAAGGTAAAGCACCCAAGCCATCAATGGAGCTTTGACTGGTCAAAGTCCAGTGAGTTCTCTATTGAAGCCTGGTAGAGACGAGTGATGATCCCTATAAATTCACCTGCAGCTCTGATAGCCTTTGCTGGAGTCGTGGAGGAATTTTACAGATGGTAAAGATTTTTCACAGTCAGCTTGCCTGGTGACGTTAAGACCAAAAACCCAGAGGAAGAATCATTAGGAAGATAATACTCCAAATGGACTGTCCACTTCATCCTTCCTCTAAACTCCGGGCTTCTGTAGGGATCATGGTTTGTTCATCATTTTATATGTAAAAAGACTTGACAAGGAGTGGGGAGAGGATGTCCCACTCCTTTTGGGCATAAAGCATTCATACTTTATTATTTATCTTAAAACAAAAGAGGTTGGGCTTCACGAAGCTTTAAATACGGACAGTCATGCCCGGCCTCCGTTAGCCCTTCTGTCGGTTGGACGGTCGGGTGCGCTGTGTATTAGATTCCTTTGTCTTAAGTGCATTTCAAAGTTCTGCCCTTTTCGTGGCCTGCTAAGTGGCTTTCCCAGTTCACCCATCTGGTGGGGGAATCTTTGGTAATTAAAAGCAGAATGAAGCCAAAATTCTTCTGCACCTCTGTGAAAAGAGTAGGAACTCAAAGAGGTTTTTTCCTCTGCAAAAGAATAAGTGTGCCCTATTGTTTCGTGAAATGGGGAACTTGCTTCTATTCTATGGATATGCCACTGACTGCTTCCTAGCTAGATTTTGGGGTCCCAGTGCTTAGCCTTCTCATGCCAAACTAAAGGTGAGATTGTAAGTGGAAATGGAAATGCTTTGTAAAGCAAATTCATGATTAAAACAGTTTGTAAATTTTGAAATTCTATTTTTGTAAAAAAGTAATATCATGCACAGAAACCTGTATTTGCACCCTTGAGAATTTTAGGAAGAGCCTTTATATTTTATAGAAGCAGGACATATGTATGCAGTCATGTACATGCATGTTATAGGTTTTGTGTTTATAAGCAGTTTTATTGCCTGCTTCTTTTTTAGTCAGTGATCTGTTCTTTTGTATTAGTTCATATTTTATCATCTTTATGCCCAGATTGTATTGGTGTTTTCCATATTGGCCTCAAACGTCCAAATGATCTAATCTGCAACCACAAGCATGAGGCTCAGTGCCTTTGCCTCCTCTTCTTGATAGGATCCTTTTTTTTTTTTCTTTTTTAAATACCAGGGATTGAATCCAGGGGCATTTAAGCCACATTCCGAGCCCCTTTCATTTTAATTTTTAAAAGAATTTAAACTTTACTTTTTCTTCGTTTGTTTTTATGTGGTGCTGAGGATGGAACCCAGTGCCTCACCCGTGCCAGTCAAGCACTCCACCACTGAGCTACAACCCAGCCCTGCCCCCTTTATTTTTTTATGTTGAGACAGGGTCTTGCTAGGTTCCTTAGAGTCCTGCTAAGTTGCTGAGGCTCGCCTTGAATTTGAGATCCTCCTGCCTCAGCCTCCTGAGCTGCTGCTGTTACAGACGTGTGCCACCACGCCTGGCACAATCACTTCTTGATGGCACTGACTTATCGACGGGGCCAGCCCTGGCATCTGGTAGAATGGTCTCTTTGCTTTTTGAGTTTCACTGTTTTTTTCCTTGTGGTTTCTTTTAACTCCACAAAGCTACTCCATTCTGTGTATTTCTTGTGTACTGGAAGTTAAAACAGAGGTTTATCCATTAATAGTAAAAGTTGCACAACATCAGAAAACATGAAATACTTGCATCACTATTAACAACGCTGAAAATGACCACTGCGTTGTGGGTAACCATCCAGCCCCTCAGTGTGTGCCTTTCTCCTGTGACTCACAGCCCCCTACAGGTGGGTTTGGGCATCGTCATATCAGCTCTCAGTCTAGTGTTTTAAGCAGCAGTTTATAAAACAGTGATGCTTCGGCCAGCGACGGGCCGTGGCCACAGGTTGCAGGGCTCAGTGATGTCTTGGACGAGTGTGTCAGCACACCCTGTGATGTTTGTACAGTGGTGCAGTCACCTGAAGGTGATCCTCAGACCTCATCCCGGGGGTGAGCTGTGCCCCCTGCGCTTGCCCACACCAGGCTCCCCCGGGGCTCGGTGTGTGTTCCTCTCGTCCTTTGTTGACTCCCTGGCTTTCTTTTAAGGGAGTCAAGCTTTCCTTCCTCCAGTTGGACTGTTGGTCCCCCTACCAAGTGTCCAAATGAACAGGCCGAGTGAACGGTCATTCCCCTCTAATTGCCAGTTTTCAAAGGAAGGTATTTTGATTGCTGCAGAACAAGAATTTTATGACCTGTTTTAAAACAATCTAAACAAAGGCTCGATGGGTTTTGAACACATCTGCTAAACATTTTTAAAAATGCACAAGAAGGGGCTGGGGCTGGGGCTGAGCTGTAGCGCACTTGCCTGGCATGCATGAGGCACTGGGTTTGATTCTCAGCACCGCATATAAATAAATAAACAAATAAACAAACAAATAAATAAATAAAGGTCCATCAACAACTTATATATATTTTAAAAAGATGTGCAAGAAAACATCTCATTAGCTTTAGGGGAGTTGGGAATTTTCTAAATGAATGTGCATCTTTGCTGGGTGGGATTAAACAGTGAGTTTCATGTCCGTGAGTTCAGCCAACTGCACATCAGAAAATACCTATTTTAAAATTGCATCTGAAAGGGCTGAGGATGTGGCTAAGTGGGAGAGTGCTTGCCTGGCCAGAAGGAGGCCCTGGGTTCCAGCCCATCGAGAGGTGTGCGGAGCACACAGAAGCTCTTCTTTTCACTATTCCCTGGATCATAGACTGCAGTAACTATTTAGATAGCATTTGTGTTGTTTTAGGTGCTGAAAGAAAATTTAAACCACACCAGAGGATGTGCATGGGCTGTATGCAAATACCATGCCTTTTGATATAAGGTTATTTATTTTATTTTGTTAGTTGAGGGAAGTTCTAGGACCAGTCCTAAGGATCAAGGGAGAGCTGCATGATCTTTTGGTTGGCTAAGCTAATGATATACTTAACACATGTGTATTTAGGAATCAAAATTTTGTTGTTGTTGTTTCGGCAGCCATTCAAGAACTATTTTTTAAAAAACGAAGCATATATCAGTTACATTAACTTTAAATTGTTAATTTTTTCCTTTTTTTAAATTGGTGCATTATAGATAATTGTCACTTTATCACAAAGTTTTAGATGTGTACTTTTTAATGGAGGTGGTGTGGGGTCTAGTAGTATGTAGAAACAACGATTTCTAGTTGCAAAAAAACATTTGAGGGGCTGGTGGTGTAGCTCAGTGGTAGAGCATGTGCTACCTACCATGTCCAGGGCCCTCGGTTCAGTCCCCAGCACTGGGAAGAAAGTGTGTGTGTGTGTGTGTGTGTGTGTGTGTGTGTATGAGGGGGGGCGGAGAGGGGTTGAATGATTTGAAAGAGACCGAGGATTGGTAGATGGCGTTTAGTGATTTAGGTTCAGACTGAACTGACTTCAGAGAATTCATGTTTTCCTGCTGTACAACATTACTGAGCTCTTCTACAGATTAAATGTACATTTGAGGGCTAGTCTGGAAAATTAACCAGCATTTCTAACATTTTTCTGTGTGTAAAGTAAATGCAAAGCATTCTGAGTAAAAAATATACGACATAAGCAAACTATGGGCATATAGCTTGCAAATTTGCTGTTGTCTCGTATTTGAGAGATAACTTTGGCAGAGGTAATCATGGTAGCAATGTGTATGTTTCCCTGGTCAAGCTTTATCACTATATGTATTTTTTAAGTTTCCAGTAGTTTTTATAGCTTTGGAATGACTTGCCGTGTAAACATTTATAGGGATAATGATGATACTAATTAAATTCTAAGAGGATGTTAACTCCGCAGTCTGCAGGTGGAATCCCAGATTGCATTGACTTTGAGATCACCTCAGCAGACAGGTGCTCAGGGACCTCATCATTATTCATTGATCATTGTTTGAACCTATGGTCCGATTTTTAAGTGATTTAATTACTTTGG